TTTGATTGAATAAAGTATTGAAAAATTTGATTTCATATGGTATATGTATATATATGCTATATGTGATAAAGTATATAAAATGGTGATTTGAAACTTATGTGGTTTGGCAAGCATGATCATAAGGGTGGGAGTTCACTCGAGTGGAAAGGTGGTGATAAGATCATATGGCACATTCTCCTTAGTGCTTGATGGGACACGGTATTTGAGAATTATACCTTCTTAGTACCTTTTAAGGTGTGATGTTGGAGATGATTTCTTAGTTCTAGTAGAGGGGTGGGTGTTGGAGATATAGGACTCCTTAGTGTCTGTGCAATATGGTATTGGAGTCAACAACACCCCATTATGTGTATTGGGAGAAATTATAGTCCAAAAGTAAGATAGAACACCTTTAGCTGAGTGATTCTACCACTAAAGGTGAGCTCAAGGCTAATAAGAGTATACATTAATCTAAGGCGAGCCTATAGTTTTGTGTTAGGGTGATTTGAAAGTTTGGTCAATAGTGATCATGCTAGGTAATGCAATATGTTGCTATATGTGGTATAAGTGAAGAAAGTAGTGAAACAAGTGTAAATGTGATGAAATATTGATATGAGTGTTATTTGAAATGAAATATATGATATGTTATATAAAATTGTATATTATGATTTACTTTCATATAGTTGCATGTGATAGTCAATAGGAGTGAGTTACTCTGTTATTGAGATTTTCGTCTCATCTCGTGGTTATATTTTTACAGGATCGAGCAGCAATCAGGGTAAGAGAAGAGAGTCTGGACTAGCATAGTGGTGCTGTGGTTGTGAGACCCTTTTGAGTTTGTGTAATGAACTAAACACTTGTGTATATTTGTAAATATGAGTTGTCATAAGATTGCATGCATGTTTTAAATGACTCTGTGAAATCTTAGCCCATTTGTATATGTGTGATGAAATGAATTAGTGGCTAAAGATTTGAATTTGTATGAGTTGGGAATGTTGTGTTTTTAGTGAATCTTAAGCCCATGTGTGAAATTAATGAAATGAGTAATTTAAAGATAATATTGATTAATACATATGTTATGGATGTGGTCTTATATGTATTTGTAGAGAAAAAGGCCAAGTATACCAAGTTGTGCTTGGTAATGGCAAATTGTTAAAAGTTGTGAAAAGTGAAAAATTAGCCATTGAAGGGTCAAATTTCAGTATATATGTATGTATGTGATATATTGTAGTTAATAAGGTGTATTAGGTCCTCCTGGACTTGATTTAAGGTCTTGTGTGGTCTAATGAGAGAAAGGGATCGATTTAAGTGTTTAGGTGTGCGAAATTTTCATAAAAAGTAACTTTTTACACCTAAGTGTTTAAATTTTAATTGAACTGTTAGATCATGTCCAAACCTGTCTCATCAGTTAGCTTATGAAATAAGCTTCGTGTGGATGCCCGAATTACTTCGATTGGACATAGTATGTGAAAACAGCGCAGGTTGGAAGTTTATCATTTGTTGTCAAAATGACAGTTGAAATTTCAGACAGGCACGCTGCAGTGCATGATGTCACATACCATGGCATATGGGTGTGTGGCTCTATGCCATATGTCGCAGCTGTACCATATGTCGTGATGCATAGCCCATTTTTCAACCTAATTTTCTTAGTTTTAATGCATGCAATTGAGATAGGAGTGCTTATGAGTTGTGTCTACTGCGCATTTATATAGATGTATTATGGTTTTTAATGATTTTTTGAAACAAGTCTTTAGCTAAAACTTTCAAATAAATTCTATGATTCTTGAATTAGTGTGTTTAAGTGATGATTTTATTAATCTTCTCTTGTATCGAGTGGATGTGAGGGAGGGTTACACTTGACCTAAACCCTAGGTGTTCATTGAGTTTAATGGAGCACTACACCTAATGGTTTTTAAGTGTTCCATCTTAGGTTAATTGAGGTTGTTTGTGTTAGTATAATTTTGGAATTCAATGATAAATGCTAAGAAATCTAACTTGGGCTCTCTATTATCATCATTTATTTCATTCCAATTAAGATAAAAATTCACAAACATTTATTGTTGCATTGTAGATTTAGTTTGATCATTTGAAAAGCCTACTTAACAATTAGCATTTGAACCAAGAATTTGTGTGCTTTGCTCTTATGGGAGATGAACTATAGTGCCAAATACTACATTCTACCTAAACTTGATAGCCTAAAGCAACTTAGAGTTTCATTAGAATCCCACTCATAAGAAATTTTAGTAAATGTCTTGGGATTCATATCCTTCATAAAAGAGAATCTAAACTAACCTTTGCTCCTCTAATTAAGGAAATGAATTCTCATCTTTTTACTTGGAAGGGTCAATTTCTCAATACTGTCAGGAAGTCTATCCTCATAAATTATGTCCCTTTAGCTCTTTTTAATTATACTATGCAGACCATGCTTCTACCTAACATATCCTTAATGAATAAAAAAAAAGTTCATGTAACTTTTCTCTTGGACTCATTTGATGGTACTAAAAAGCCACATCTCCTCTCTTAGGAAACATATTTCAAAGGACAAGGCTTCTGGTAGCCTTAGATTCAAGAACCTTCAGAGCTAGGACATTGCTTGTATTATAAAGCTTTGTTAAGGTATTATTTTGAAGCCTAACTATCTTTGGGTCAAGATCCTTTGTGATAAATATAAATGCAATAGGCCTGTTATCCTTATGATCTGCAAAACAAGCTCATCTTCATGCATTCTAACTAGTATTTGTCAAGTTTGGAACAATTTCCTAACTCATGTTAGCTAGAAGGTTAGAAAAGGAAACGAAATATCCTTTTAGTATGATAGGTATCACCTCTTCTTAAGCCTCTTGCCAAATATGCCTTCCTTAATGTTGATGCTATCCTTCATGCCAAAGTCTTGAATTTTCAATCAAGTATAAGAGGATGAAATGTCAACATGATGAGCTTCTATCTTCATTCTAAAGTGATCAAATCAATATTACTTGTCCAACCTCCCAATCCGCAAGGAGAAAATGATGCCCTTTGTTGAAGACCTTCCTCTGATGGTAGTTTTTTCCATTAAATCAAGTTACAAAGCCATGGAAAACAAAGGAAGCAATGCCAAATCTGAAATTTGGTCCATAACATGGAAATGGTCCATATATGAAATAAATTAAATCTTTTCTTTAGAAAGTTGGTTGGAATCACCTTGATACCAAATTTGTCAACTCTAAATTTGATGGCATTGTTTCTTGTGAGAGAGCCTACCCTTTTAGATGTAACTCTTCTAATTCTTCAATCCATATCCTGTGACTATGTTAAATCTAGGGAGGTATGGATGAGATTAGGCCAAAATTCTAAGTTAAATGTTTTCTTTTCTCTTCCCCTTGCAAGATTGTCTACTCTAGAATGCGAAGAGTGATGCGTGAGGCCTATCCACAAGAAGAATTCAATGGCTGAGGCTTTTGTTCAAATGCTGGAACATCTAGAAAGAAAGATATAAATTTGTCTACTCCAAAGGAGACATCCTTGTCAATACATTGCTTTTACTTGCACCTAAGATATAATCAATTATGTCTTAAACTTCAATCAAAACTCAATCTCATATCAACGAATCATGATATATCTCAAGCTAGATGGAACCCCTTAAACCTGGCTAGGTTACACTCAACATTGATAGCTCCATCAATATAAATGGAGCCGTTGCTTGTGGAGGCCTTATTCGTGATGATCAAGAAAACTGGATAAAATATTTTTCTAAATATCTTGATTATTACCCCAACATTGTTACAAAACTTTTGGATATTCTTGAAGGATTCAATCTTTGTTGGAATAGCAAGTTAACTACGGTCAACATTTACTCTGACTCTCTTGAAACTCTCATGCTCATTTGTAGTGATTTTAATGAGAATCACCCTCTATTTAAAGACCATCACGAGATTAGAAACCTTATTATGCGAGGCTAGATGATAACATGTAATTGTGTTTTACATAAGTTAATAATTGAGTGGACTAGCTTGCACACCAAGCACTAAATGATAGCTTAAATATAAAATTTTAGATAAGCCACCTTTATAGTATATAACTTTTATGAATTCTAATTTGATTTAATTATTATCCTTTCGTGACCTTTCTTATTAATTTTTTTGCATAAAATAATAAGGCAATAGATAAATTTTAAAAAAGGTTTTGATCTTTCAATGGTGGTGTTGCTTAATAATAATAATAATAATAATAATAATAAAAGAAAGCAATGTCTCTATAAGTTGGGATTAAATGACATTTTTATCTTTCAACTATTCATTTAGGAGCATTTGATATCTTAAACATATACTCCCTCTATTAAAAAATATAATGCATTGTTAATCGAATCTCACCCCCCAATAAAGTAGTTACGTACTTTTTTAACTAACCCTATCTTTTTATATTTATTCCTATTAAACACCCTATAATAAATATAAATTCATTATCAATATGGGCACTTTTGAAAAAAAGACAATGATTACACCTCAAAAGATTAAAAATGGCTTGTATTTTTGAATATCCAATTCATTAAAAAATATCTTATATTTTTGAATGGAGGGAATATATGGTACAATTTTCTCATTCAACCTTTGAAAATGACAGTCCAAACAACTTGGATAAAAAAAAAAGTTAATTTTAATTGTTTAGTTGATTGAAAAAATAATCCATAAAATAATTGTTGGTCAAAATCTTTGCTCAAAAAAAAATTGTTTGTCAAAATCATATCTAATCTTTGATATGAAAAAAAATAACATTTATATTATATTTTTTATATGTAATTTAAAAAATTTAGTTAATATTATTTTTCTTATAAAATATTCATGTATGATTTTATGAATCTTTTTTCTACAAATTTTAAAATTTTTACATTTTTTTAAATGAATTAACTATTAAAATTAACATTTTGTAATAGTATAATATCAAATGAGAAAATTATTCCGCATAAAAATTAAAATAATAATATATGCTTCTTGACAAAATATTGCTCCGAGATTAAAAATCCTTTATCCTACAAACTGCCTCGTGTTGGCAATTTCAATTTACAAGTGAAAAATTGGCGTCTGATCGATCTATCGGCATTCTCGGCTCTCGCAACCAAGTTCGGCCTGTTCGACTCCAAAGAACACAGTAGCCACGGGACAGAGTAGCTTCACTTGAACAAAAGCTTCCCCGTAAAACCTAACCCTATTCACAATTTCACTTCTCCATTAGGGTTTCTTCTCCTCATACTTAATATGGACGGTGACGACGAGACCTCGGGTCCGATGATCGACGAAATCTACGCCAACGGTAGCGACGATAGTAACCGCAACCGACGCCCTATTACCAGTGGCGACCAGCTCGACATTGAAGCATATGCGAGCCTCTACACCGGTCGCACCAAGATTGTGCGGCTCCTCTTCATAGCCGATCACTGCGAAAAGAACTCTACTATGGAGCTTGACGCGCTTCGCATGGCCTACGATGAGATTAAGAAGGGAGAGAACACCCAGCTGTTCAGAGAAGTTGTGCAGAAGATTGATGGGCGATTGGGGCCCAATTACGGCATCGACGTGGCATGGTGTGAGGCGGTAGATCGAAGGGCAGAGCAGAGGAAGGATAAGCTCGAAAATGAGCTCAATGCCTACAAGGTATGCTCTTATAACTCTTATCTGTTTTGATTGTATCTTTCTGTTTATGTTGAAATTAGATTCAAGTTGGTTGATGCCAATATGTTATGCATTGTTATGGGCTTTGCTTGTAATTCTGTTTCTTTTAAGTGACTGATCGAGTATTATTTGTTTTAATCAACTCTACATGCTGAGCCCTCCTTGGTATTATTTCCTTTGTATACTTAAATGTGATGTGCTGACTATTCAGGCTCTTCTGTCGTTATTGCATTCATCACGGAATATGAATATTTAGCGTTTCTTTGTTTGCCTACTTATTATTGCTTCCATCAAGCAACCTACGGGCTATATATTGTTTTATGATAAGACCGTATTCTCCATTTCACCTTACTCATCAATAAAAGGCATTGGTCGTGTACTCGTTCACATATATAATTTGATACATACGAAAGACATTGTTGTTCTGATGCAAAGCATTCCATCGTTACTTATGTTCTGTTACTGTGGCAGATTTACCATATTCAGAAAACATGAGGGTATTCAGATTCAAAATTTCCGCAAGTCCTGACTGGATATTGTATTGGCATTCAGATAATGTATGTGTGTAGTATGTCTACATATATATTATATCAGATTAGACATCAGTCAAGTTTTTGCTATTTACCAATTTCTGGTAATAGTCTCCAGCCAGCGCTTTGCATTAATTTCTGGCTGGTTGTTGTCAGATGTATTCATTATGTAATTGTCACAGTAAATAAAATAGATTACGGTTTGTCTGTGGGTTTTTCCCACCTGTTTAGTTTGGTTGCTTAGATAGACACTTTTGCGTATGGTAATGTGGCATGCTTATATTATTACTTCTGGGCCTATTAATAAGAAACATATTTATAGTTAGAATTTAACTATAAGTTGTTTCTTATAAAGAGGCCTGGAGGTAGTATTATCCTTTTTAAATTGTCTCAATTTCCTTCTCATTGATTTATTGTTTCCAACTATGCTTTTTCTGCAGACAAACTTGATCAAAGAAAGCATAAGAATGGGATACAATGATTTTGGAGATTTTTACTATGCTCACGGTCAACTTGGTGATGCTTTTAAAAATTATGTTCGTACCCGAGATTATTGCACAACTTCAAAGCACATTATTCATATGTGCATGAGTGCCATTCTGGTTAGCATTGAGATGGGTCAATTTACTCACGTCACAAGCTATGTTGGTAAGGCAGAACAGACACCAGAGGCCCTTGACCAGGTTACAGCTGCAAAGTTACGTTGTGCTGCAGGATTGGCAAATCTGGAGGCCAAAAAGTACAAGCTGGCTGCTCGAAAGGTTTGTTCCTTGTTTAGCTTTATGATATTCATATTGAACTGTGCTTTCAACTTTGCACTTATGATGAGAGATTGCCTACCTTTGAAATGTTTTGATGATTGTAGTCCTTTACATGTGTTACAGTGTACAAGGAAAAACGAGGCCTTGTTTGGTTTTCCATTGAAAAAGGAATGGGTTAAGGAAAGATTTTTGTAATGAATGTCTATTATAACCTTGTAATCATTATTCAGTAATTATATCTCTTCTACATATTTTTTAAAGTTGGGGCATGAGGGTCGGTTTTTCATGTGAAAAATTATTTTTCCCCCAAATCACTTCATCCCCTTCTCCATTTCATTTTGTATACTAAACATGGCTTGGGTGTTTACTTGACCTTGTACCAATTGTACATACTCATTCTATGTGGGAGCTTGCACATGATAGGGATCAGTTGGTATTTTTGATGTGATCTGAAGTGATTAAAGAATAATTTCCTTGGTAAAAGTCCTACAAATGAACCTAAATGCAGGTTTTCTGTCGATTATGGGTTAGGCTTGGCATTTTTTTCTTTTCCTTAAGCTCAGGCTATTATGACTTAGTGACAAGCTATGAAGCACGGATACTTCAAAAAGTAAATGTATCCCATATTCTAACATTTGTAATGTGATTTTTTTTCCAATAATATTTCACTATATCACTTAAAAAGTTGAAAAAACACTTAACATTTTGGTTGATTGTTACAAATATCCTTATCTTATTTTACAAATTCTTGATTAAAATCAAAATACCTATACTTGTATCATAAAAGCTTGAAATATGTATTATAAATATTCCCGTACCCTTATCCTAAAATTTTGAAAATTTGCCATTTCAACATGTCATGCCATATTGTATCGGATACTCGTACCCGTATCTATGCAATCTAGGTGATAAGTATACTGTTTGAATCATTGCAAATCCCTATAACTTGTTAATGCTGTCTATTTTTCACTTGGACTATTGGACTGTGTTTCTGGTTGTACTTGTGCCTCACATGAAGAGTATATTTGTTTGCTGGAGCAATCATTGTATAACTGGAATTCAGTTCTTTAGTGTTTAAAGGAGGTGCAAATGCAAAAGAGCAGTCACACATAGGCCACACACACAGTAGTAATGAATGATTACAGATGACTGAAGCAATTTGATATCTTTTGAGTGTCTGACATATGACCATGTTTATTTCATAACCAACTTGGTGGTGAATGCTCCTTTTTCACTTATTATGGGCATGCCTATCCTTAAATATCCAATCCTCTTCTATATTCGCGACTGACTTTTTAAGAATAATTTTCCTTTTGTCCCTAACCCAGTGTATTCTTCCACTTGCGAGTAGTTAGCATATATTGTCTAGGATTACGGCATGGGCCATAAACCATATGGTTTAACTTTGTTCTTTTACTCTTTATTTAATGCAGTTTCTTGAAACGGCCCCAGAACTGGGAAGCCACTACAATGACGTGATTGCACCTCAAGATGTTGCAACGTATGGTGGACTTTGTGCACTTGCAACATTTGATAGGGCAGAGTTAAAGGCATGTTCTCCATCATATTCATAGGATAGTCTTGCTTTGATATGACTTTTGATGAGGCATTCCTAGTATTAGTAACATTTCATCACCTCTGTTGTTTCTATTTTTACATATGGCAGACCAAAGTTATAGACAATCCTGTTTTCCGGAATTTCTTAGAGTTGGTACCTGAAGTAAGGGAGTTGATAAACGATTTTTACTCAAGGTAGCTTGTGTTCCTTTCAGCTTCTTTCTCTTTAGCTGTTCGCTTGCAGAATGATGGGTACCATCCAAGTGTGTTTTTTTCCCTCCCCCATGTAATTAAATGGAGACTTGATTTGTAGAATCTCAATCTCTTAGGCCTGAGAGGTGGAATTATACTGCATGGATCTTGAAATGAAGTTCTCAACATGAGGTTGCTAATCTGTATGCCTAAATGATTGACAATTTTTTTGGCGAGAATTGTAATGGAATGCAAGATGTCCTAAGAGTATGCTTTTCTCAACAATGGTGAGAATGTGGTTGAAAAGAGATTTTTGAATTCCTGATTCATTTTCCTGGGGATGGCCATTGGTGGTGATAGACTTATAGTTTTCCATCATTGTAGTCAATCAGATGAATGTTCTCAATCCAGCATGTCTGCATTGTGAATCTTTTATATTTGTTGGTGTAGGGTTAAGATTTGAAGTGATTGCAATTCTGATAATTGTGCTTTCTCATTTGTTTATCTCATGTTTTTTTTATTCTTTCTCCCTTTAACCTCTGTATATGTATTGAACTGTTTTTCTGTCTTTTTGCAGCCACTATGCATCCTGTCTGGAATACCTTGGAAACCTAAAACAAATCTGTTGCTTGATATACATTTGCATGACCATGTAGAGACACTTTATGATCAAATCCGCCACAAAGCCCTCATCCAGTACACACATCCTTTTGTGTCTGTTGATTTACGCATGATGGCTAATGCATTCAAGACAACTATTGCGGGACTTGAGAAAGAACTTGAAGCTTTGATTACTGACAACCAGATACAGGTGCAGTGGGGATTATGTTATTTTGCTTTGCTTTTCTTGATTCTTGTAGACTCACATCTTGATACTATTGTTCTGTTGTTTTATCTCTATAATCTAGTAAGCTTTAGGTTATTAAAATCAGATGGGATTCTCCTGTTAGGGGTGTGAGAATGTGTGTGTGAGAGAGAGAGAGAGAGAGAGAGGGAAGGAGTTGTACCCCTACTGTTTTTCTTCAGCTACCTTAGTCTGCTGCATCATTAACATAAAAGCATGCTTTCTCTTAGAACAGCCTTGCAATTAAGCTTGGAGATTGTTTCTTTACAGGCTCGAATTGATTCACACAACAAAATTCTGTATGCACGGCATGCAGATCAAAGAAATGCCACTTTCCAAAGGGTCTGGAGGCTGGAGGGGACTTTGATCGGGATGTCAGGTCCATGCTGCTGAGATCAAATCTTATCAAGCATGATTACAATCTCAAGGCGTCAAGGAAACTTTGATTTTGGATTGGATGATGGTGGGACTGACGTTGCTATTACATACACTCAAGAGACATTGGTAGAGCTATATAATAGAGAAGAGTTCCAGGCTGAAGTTCCATAAATATTGCCTTGATTTATGGTGGGCTGTTAAACATTTCTTGCATCATTTAACGGATAAACTATGGCTGCTATTTTGTATATACTTTGTACGATTCGAATGAATTATTCAGAAGCTCATTTACTTTATGGTTAGTATATGACTTGTTTCTTAATTTTGGTACTAATTGGTATGTAAACTTCATCCCAATTCCCAAGTCTGAAATGGTTCAAAATGATTCTAACGCTAATTGAGGCATTGGAAAGGGGAAAGGAAATATAGATTATTTCAGAAATGATGTTTGGTTCATGGAATACTTGATAAATAGTAGTATTTTCATTCCTTCGAGGAACCTCATTCAACCATTTAATGGACTGCAAAGGCCATCAGAATTTGGAGGAATGGGTCATGGATTCAAAATTCGGGGCCTGGGGGTTGGGGAATAAAAGAAAAGTGCTCTGGTGGACGCCCAAGAAGCCGACGAGGGCATCATTTTATTGGAGTTTGGAGGTGATTTTTTTTCCCTTGCCCGGGTGGAAGGTGTTGCTCCAATAAATTTCACAGTAAATCCAGATCCATATCCTTTGGTTTTGTGGTCAAACTTTCCTGTCCACATTGAGATAGAACTAAGTAATTTGGAATAAGTCCGACGAGTCAGTCAAAACTCATTTAAAAAAAGTTAGAGTTGGGCTTTATTATGTAGGCTTTTTTAAGAAAACTACTTTAAGCTTGATTTGAATAAATTCGGTAGTTAGAATTTTTAACTCTATGTTTGTAATGTTGGTAATTTTGGTCAAGTTTGACAAGTTAGCTTGAATTGGATCAAAAAAATTTAGGATCGTGCTTGACTATATGATTTTTTTTAAGGAAAGTATGATACTTTAAGCTTTATCTCAATAAATCAAGTCCTTCCAAGTTACTGACTCTATTAAATTATTTATTTTCTGGTGGCTAGCACAGGAGCTCTAACGATTGTTGGTAGTCTGGTTGCTGGTGTTCTAACAATTGTTGTGAGGGTGGTCTACTTGTCAGTGGTGGGGGTTGAGCGAAGTGGAATATTTATGCAACGAGTCAAAGTGTGTTATATTCATTTCTTATCAAAACATATTTTCAACTTACTCTCTTAATCCTACATTGAAATTTCTAGGAAAAGAAAAGCAGAAAGAAAAAAGGTCTGATCTTGATTTGAAATTAAACCTTTGTAAGGTCCTTTATTGAAATTCTCGTCAGTGCTTAGTTTGGATGTAAGTAAATTTGGTAGAAAATAGGAAGGAGAAATAGCTAAAAAGAAAATGTTTAAAATTAGTAAAATAATTTGTACGAGTGTTTTTAGAGGCTCTCTGTAATTAAAAATAATTAATTATTTTTACGAATGTTTTCTTATAATTTTGCTTTCAACTTATTTTTCTCTCAATCAAAATGAGGTGTGAATTTTAACTTTAAATATAAGTTGGATTCATTGGTCCATCTCAGCCTTGTGAAAGGGGAAAAAGGAAAAAAAAATGAAAGGACCAATGCTAAATGTATTCGACTAATCAAATTTATATTATAAAAGGATAAAGGGAAAAATATACCTACAAATTAGTCAGTTAGAGAAAAAATAGAGAAAAAGAAAAAAAAGAGAAAAAAATACTCATAACATTATCAAAGTGAGTGTAAAAGTAACTAGATCGTTAACTTTGATTTAACACTATTAATTTTGACCGTTAAATGCTAACTGTGCATGCCACATGTCATTCTTTACTGACGTGGACCAATAAAAGGGCAAAAAATACCTATGAAGTCATTGGCCAAGAGCAAAATACCTATAACGTTATTAGAGTTGGTGCAAACATAACCAATGCATCAAATCCCTTAAATGTTGACTATTTTGCTAACATTTAAATAGAAGTTGACTATTTTTTTGCTAATGTAACAAAAAAAAATATTCCTAGATGATTTTATGGATGTTGATCATCATCATCATATGAGTATCCATAATTAGTGAACAATTCATTAAAATCGATGCCACATGATTTTTATTCTACCACTATGTATCTCACCCCCTTCCTTCCTCCATTTTCATTCATTTTTTTTTTTGCAAAACCTAATATTCAACATGATGAGATAGGTTGTACACATTCGAAAATTAAGACTGAGCACATCTCCTACGCCTTGCTACCTTACGAATATTGTTCACAAACCTTAAACAATTTCATTTATG